AAACATCCCATTCCATTAAAAAAATTTTTAATTCTCCATTATTCCCCATTTCTGGAAATGCTGTATTTCTGCCCGAATACCGCAATCACAGGCCTCATTACTGCAGTAGAAAACGTAAGTGGGAAACAGTAATTGATAAAGAGAGGATTTAAAACAAGGAGCCCCAGCTGGTTTGGCTCAGTGGATAGAGCGTTGGCCTGTGGACCAAAGAGATTCCGGTCAAGGGCACATGCCTGGGTTTCGGGCTCGATACCTATTAGGGGGCGTGCAGGAGGCAGCCGATCAATGATTCTCTTTCATCATCGATGTTTCTATCTATCTTTCTCTCCCTTCCTCTCTGAAATCAATAAAAATATTTAAAAAACACACACCAAAAACAAGCAAGAAGGGACTATGGGAATCTGCATCCTCATTTCCAGAAGGACAGAAGGATGTGGGCACAGATCGTGTGAACCCCAGCTTCAGGATTCCTTTAGGCCTGTGTGCCCTCCCCATGCCACTCGAGCTGAGAAGGTGAGTCACAGCACCTGGAGAGACCTGACCAACTGGGCGTGAGTAGTCCTGGTGACTGAAATACTCTACCACCAGCCAGCAGGGTGAGTCCCAGCCCTCCACCCCATGCTCCCTCCAACAGGATCTGGCCCCATTTCAGCCCTACTCCTCTGGCCTGGCAGAGGTCCCCCAAGGAAGTCAATTAAGGAGGAAGTGCCAGCATCACATCCGGAGGACGTCATCTCCTGGCCCGGCACACACCAGGCTCCCCGCCTTTCTGGAATGTGCTCTGTGCGCTCATAATCCTGGCCGTTACCTGTACCACACCCTTGGCCAGGAACTTCCATTTTCCCTTCTCCATATGGATGGATGTGACCCACCTCTGATCTTCAAACCAGACTCAAATGCCACCCCCTCCAGCCTCAAGTCCATTTAAAACCAACTTCTTCTCAGCTGAGCATGTGGAATGTTGCCACATTCTCGCCTGCCCCCTTCAGCACAGCCTCCCTCCCTCAGCGGGCATTCTACCTGGTTCCTCCCCTCTCTTCTCCGGGGCCCACTCAATATAGTTGTGTCCATATTGATTTTTACGCCCTTCCTCTTAACCCTAGATAGCTGACTCTCAAACCAAAATTAATCAACTTGGAAAATTACAAACTGCTCTGCAGTCTATTGCTCTTTCGGGAACAGAGGCCCACAGGGCAAGACCTGAAGGTTTGGTTTTATTTAACCTCTCAGCCTGAGAGCACCACTGGCCATTCAAAAACTTGGAAGGTCAAAAAGCTCAAAACCCACACACCTGTTCTGGAAGCTATTCCCAAATTACCTTTAACCTTCAAGGTGCATCTCACCTGCTCCAAGGTGATAGAAGAGGTGGGGGAAGAAACAAACCCAGTCAACCCAGCAGGTGAAAAAGCTGACACGGGCAGGCCGCGGGTTAATGACAGCAACAGAAAAATAAGCCAGAGAGTAAAGAACCCCCCAAACCAGAGAAGCCTCGGGGACATGCACAGCTGGGAGGGAACAAGCCAGAGAGGGGGTCTCAGCACTGCCTCACCTTCCAATCGTCCAATGGGGAGAGCGCTACCCCATTGGAATGGTTAAGGTCGCACACCAACACCTTCAGAATATCCTGAATCTACAGGAAGCGAAAAAGCAAAAACAAGGGCGGGGGAGAAAGAGAAAAGTGGCTTAGAGAGAGGCAAGAGAGCCAGGGAAGGTAGAAGAGATGGGTTTGGGGAAATTAAATGCTACAGAAAGAGAAGGGGATCAATACCATGGCCAGCGCCATCTTTCCAAACAGACACTTGCTGCCTTGCCACAGGCAGAAATCAACGCACATGAACAACAGCCCCCTGAGCGAGGCAGTCACATAGAGTGGAGTCACCTGACCAGTGCAGCTCTGAATACGCCCCTCACACCCTCTCCTCAGGCCCAGGATGCCAGGGCTCCAGACCCCCACCTCCACTTTAAAAACCAGGCTTCCAAGTAAAGGGTTGCTTGAACAAAAGGGATTACAGCTAAAAATAAGTTTGAAAGACACTAATCTGATCCAATACTATCCTCTCACAAATGAGGAAACTGAGGCCAGGTGGAGGAAGTGATTTTCCTGAGGCCGCCCAGAGATAGGCTCAAGACTCCGAATCCAGCGCCTGGGGCTCCTCACTGTACCCTGGGGCTCTCCTGCTGGCTGTTCTCACAGCCTGGCTTCCCCTGGAGACAGGGGATGAGAAAAACCACCAGATAAGCAGGACCAGTAGCAACTACCCTTTATTGGATCTTTACCCTACACCAGGCCCTACATTAAGGGATTAATATAAAAACAACAATGTCATTTAAGCTTCATATATGTAAGACAATATTACCCTGATTTTACTGATGTGGAAACACAGGCCCAAATAGCTTAAGCAATTTGCCCCAAACCATATTCCTAGCAGAGGGAGGGGGAGAATTAAGATTCAAGCCGGGCCATAGTGGCTCAGTTGGTTGAGCATCATCCTGTGCAATGGAAGCTTGCAAGTTCCATTCCTGGTCAGGACATTTACCTGGGTTGCAGGTTCGATCCCTGATTGGGGCACATACAGAAGGCAACCAACAGATGTTTCTCTCTCTCTCTCTCCCTTTCTCGCTCTAAGCATGTCCTCGGGTGAAAATTTTTTAAAAGGGGGGACACAGGGGAGAAAATGGGGGACATCTGTAATACCCTCAACAATAAAAATTAATTTAAAAATAAAAAGAATTCAAACTCAGAATTCTTAACCAGTACTAGATACTCCTTCCACAATCTTTAACCTCTACCCTCTCCTGCCCCCTGAGCACCCTGCCCCCGGAAGCCAAGACTCACATCCTCAGGCGAGTGACCATCAGCAGTGGTTGTCTCGGGGCTACTGCCATTTTTAACCTTCTTTTTCTTCTTAGCCCCTGACGGAGCACCAATGCCTCGCTGCTGCTGGAATTCTCTCAACTGCAAAAAGGAAAGGCGGTGAGACTCATGACAGCTACAAACCCCTGGACTTACATCTCACAGTTTAAAAAATACTCATATTCGCCATCTGATTTAATGCCACAACCACCCTACAAGGTGTTGCAATTCTTCCTAATGACTGAAGAAATGGACTGATAACAAAGCTTTTTTTTAAAAAAAAGGTAGTAATAACATTTAAACTAAGTCTTCTGACTCTGAGTTCTGGGGGTTACGCCATAAATCAGTAGCTGCCAGGGGACAAAACCAGAGGTAGAAGGGGTTAACGTTTAAGTGATCAGACATAAGGGCCCTTCTTCATGCATCTGTTGGAGATGTACACCACTGCTTGTCAAACTTTTGCATCAGTGTAGCTTACCGGCAGAAGGCAGTGAAGGCGCGCCCCTAGAGAATCTGGGATGGTAACAGAAATAAGACAACCCAAGCACCATTTCAGAGAAGTCTATTATAATCTTACAAACCTACGTAAATGTCATCCCTAAGTATTCTATATATATAAAAGCCGAAGCAACCGAACAAACCAGTCGACCAGTCACTATGACACACACTGACCACCAGGGGGAAGACACTTCATGCAGGAGCTGCCCCCTGGTAGTCAGTGGGCTCCCACAGCCAACCTCCCACAGTCCCTCCCAGCACCGGCTGGCCAACCTCCCATAACCCCGATTGGCCCTGATTGCTGGCCAGACTGAGGGACCCCATGCATGCACGAATTCGTGCACTGGGCCTCTAGTATTAAGATAAAAGGCTTTTCCTCTCTCAAGAGAATCCAGCAAAACTGGTGCTATTTCTCCTGCGGCACTCAGAGCACTCCGCGTTGAGATGAGGCTTGGGAAAGATTCCCATCTGTGAAGTGCAGTGCCCCGCAGAGGATAAGCAGACCTCACTCCGAAGAGCACTGACTGCGGGCCAATCTGATTCCAGAATCATAGGGAACTAGAACATGGGTTACGAGAATTCAGATTAAAAATTTCAAAGTCTCTCTGGAGAGTTAGAAACCTGGGAGAAAACCAAACTAAACAAAACACATTCTCCTCATCGACACCCAGAGATATGGTCAACGTTTCGCGCTCACCAGTGCAATGCAGGCTTTTCACGCTATCAATGTCTACGGATGACGTACAGTCTGGAGTCAGGGAGCCTGAAACCTCTCTGACCTAATAAGTCCCATAGTCCCGAGTCCCCTTGAAGCTGGAAATTTGGGCCGTGACCAGAGAACCGGAAAGGGAATGAAAACACTAGGAGACTGGGTCGTCACATCAAACACGGGGCTTAGGACGATAATGACAGTTTCCAGGGGGATTGTGACATAACTACATTCCACTCCTCCCAACCGACGCCCGAGTCGCCGCTCCGCGCTGGGGGAAGGGAGCGCCGGGCCCGGATCCGGGTCCCTGGAGATAGCAAGTCCTGGGAGCCCTGGGAGCCCAGGAGGTCCGGTTCTGGGCGGCAGGAGGCGAGGGCCGAGCCTGGAGCCGGGAACCTCGGGGGTCACCAGCCCAAACACCCTGAGC